CGGGAGGGCGGGTCTTCCACGGGGGCCCGGGGGAGGGCAGGCTCCTTCGTAAGGGACCTGTGGGGAGGCCGGGCTTCTCTATAGGGGCCCGGGAGGAGGCCAGGATCCCCTATGAGGATTTGGGGGGAGGCCAGGCTTCTCTATAGGGGATCAGGAGGAGGCCAGACTCTCCTGTAAGGACCTACAGGGAGGTGAGGCTTCTCGGCAAGGGGGAGCGGGAGGTGAGAAGCCAAGCCCCTACTACTGAGGATGGGGGGTGTGAGTTCTTTTCTGCCTGTGCTGTAGCAGGACCTGGAGGGGCAGATGGAACACGGCAGCCTGTCCTGTAGTGCCTGAGGCTCCTCCAGCCTCAGCAGGGCTGCTGGCTCAGTCCGGGGGTGGCAGGCACCACAGCCCCTTCTCATCCCTGCCCTGGCACCCAGCCGTCCCCAGGGAGCTGCAGCTGGAGCCAAACCCAGGTACCGCTGGCAGCAGAAGTCCCATTTCCCAGACAGGTGAGCCACACAGAGCTCAGGCCCACCTTGCAAAAGACATCTTAGTTGAGGAGTTAATGATCTCGAACAGGCAGTGTCCACTCTACTGGACCTTGTACTTAGGGCTTGAGAAGCCCGTATATTATTAACATAATCTATAGTTTACAATACCTGTGGGAAATGTAAACTGTATGTGGCTCAAGGCAGGGGATACGTTGACCCTGACTAGGACCCTGCTGCATGTTCAGGAGCCAGTGATCCTCACAGCAGGCACAAGGCTGTGCTGTACTGCACTAGTTCCTTGGCCACAGGATGAGGTCAGTCAGCTTTTGGTAATGGAATCTGCAGGCAGGTCCAGCTTAGTACCGGCCGATAACAGCACCTGCCTGGCCCTGCCTGTATCTGGAAGTGCAGCAAGAAGTTCTTGCATGAACATAATTTACGAATAGAGATGTCTTCTTGCAAGTAATTTACATATTGGCTCTGTGTGAGCCAACACAGGCAGGCTACAGGAACAACCACAATGTTGAAATGCATGGATCAAATGCAAACACTAAATTCATTCTTGATACCTCGCGACCTGGGGGATCTCTGCAGCAGCACCCGGGCAGAGGCATGCAAGCAGGGATGCAGGCACTGTGGAGCTCTGTCCTTGCTAACCAGAAAGAGGACAAGAAAGAAAAGATCTAAAATCTGCTGCTTCCATCTGTATATATCCAGGATTTTTGCATGTGTTGTTTTCCACTGTGCTTTCCTACTGCAGGGCAGGAATCTCAAGGAATTTTTATAAGGTGCTCCTGAGTCTATCCCAGGGCGATGTTATCTAAATGTAGACGTTCTACACGTCAAGCAGACAAAGCTAAACAACAGTTAGTATGATATATGTGGGTTTTGTCACCCCAGCTGTAATACAAGTCACTTCAGCATGTTTGCAATCTTCCTCGTCAATCTTCTCTTGTATTCCCACAGGCTTGAAAGGCCAAAAAGGGGGAGGGAGCTCTGTCAGACTCTGCCCAAAAGCAGGCTGCCCAGCTTCTGAAGGGATGTAAGATTTACTTGCTATCTGTATTCCTCTTCTTATTCTGTCCTATTAATGCCGTTATCAAGGCATTTGTTGTCTCTCTCTCCCTGTGGGGCACCCTTGAAAGGGACCAGAGGAGCTGTGTGGACAACACTGCTCTGAGAAGCTGGCACAGCTTCTTTATCAGGGTCTGTAGGGAGGCCAGGCACTTCTATAGGGGCCCAGGAGGAGACCAGGCTCCTCTACAGGTGCCTGGGAACAGGCCAAATTCTCCAGCACCACTTGGAAGACAACCAGGCAAGGGAAGTTAGAAGACAAAAAGCCATTTCAGCACTTATGGGCACACAGACTTGCTTCCCAGTGTCTCCATGTCTGGACACTCCTCTTCCAAGCCAGGGTTTGCTTGGCTTTAGGTCTATTCAAAGAGTTGTTGTATTTAGATTGGAACCAGCACCCCTATATTAGGATTACTTCTGTGCATTTAGTGAATGTGCAAGCCAAGTTGCAGCCTCACTGGGTTCCTCAACACCCAGAAAAGCCTGACGCCATCTATTGTGGTCAGTCAGCTGAAAAATCCCAATAAAGAAACTCTGCAATGTATTGCAGAGTAGATACCCTTTCAGCCCTATGTGGTGTGCAGTTGATGGCTAATCACAAGTACTTGTTCTCATGCCAGCCCTCCTTGGAGTGTTCTCTCCCACAGCTGTCTTGGTACAGAGCAGCACTGAAATAAAGGCTGAGCAAGGATATGCTCTGTAGGCTTCCTTCCAGGAGAGGCAACTCACAAAACCCGAACACCTAGGGTGCTTTGAAGGTGTACCAGCCCCAGCCCCGACAGACAGTGAACGTGACAACCTTCAGAAAAAAACAAAACAAAACAAAACAAACAAACAAACAAACAAAAAAACCCCACACATATCCAGCACACAAGTCTCAAAACTTATTTTTATAATATGTATTTAAAGAACTAAGACTACAGCAGGCTCCTTTAGAAGAATATTTGTACGCTTGGTCTTTCAGAAATAAAACAGGACAACTGGTTCCTTGACATGTGCACTTTGCATAGTTCATTATAATGCAGCAGGACAGATGTTAAAGCTCACTGTGATCTTCTCTGCACAAGGAAATACAGTAAAAGCCCCAGGGACTGGGGAGCTTAGGCATAGACTGAAATCATGCAGATTCAACTTGAAGAGCATCATACAACTAGCAGCTCCTGTTGCTCCAACGTTAGTCACCTGGAACCAGGTTTAGACAGCTAAACTCTGTCTTCATGTCCTGTGTCCCTGTGTCCAGTGTCATAAGGCACTGAGGAGCTGTTAAGCAACGCTGCACACAGGGACTTCAGAGAGACCAGCAGCCCTGAGGCATGGGAGCTTCTGAATCAAAGCTGTATCATATACATGGTAACATAAAGGGCAGAAACTTTGAGGAGACTTGTTCAGAAAACGAGTTTCATGGCTCCAGCCCAGCGTTAGCAGCTATGTTTGTTTCCACTGGTGCACAGTCAGAACAAGTCCACAGTTTAGGGATTCCCAGAAGTTAATCAAATGGGGGTTTTCAGAGCCTATCAGGGACAAACTATACTATGAACCTAAAAAAAAATGCAAGCCCCTTGTTGCAGAGGTGGTTGGAAAAGCTGACCGGCATCCTTCAGATCCCCAACAATGTTACAAGGTGCAGCACTTTTCAGTGTGTTTGTGGCGGCACAGCCTCTCACTAGGTAGCTGCACTGTGGAGTGCTGCACCAGGCAAGATGCAAGTCAGCTTCCAGTAGCAGCGCTTAAGCCTGGAGCACATCTACAGCTGAGCCAGACACATGGTCTAACTGTTGGTGCTCCTCTAAGTAAGTGCCCTGAGAGACACGAGCTAAATTAAACCTAAATTATAAGTGTAATCATCATTAATGAAAGACTTCAGAAACGAGGAGAAGTGTAATCTGAGATCTGAGTGGAATACATATGCCCTGAACACAAGCCAGCATGCCCAAAACTTCACACAGCGCTCCGCTCAGCATGTATGACTTCTTAAGTTATCTGGGGAGTGGGAGGCTCCAGCCTCTTCTAGATGGCTACACTTGAGGAGAACTTCAAATCAAAAACTTCTTCTGACACAGATCATCCCTGTGTCTGGGTCCATGGCTTGTATTCCTTTTCTTCCTGAGTGTGAAGATGGGATATCCACTGAAGGAGTTGGCTGATCAAAGGTACAGATTTTTAGTAGGCACTTTCTGAATGTACAAGTAATTATCAGAGTCTTTAAATAATTTTTTAAAATGGAGAAGCACTTCAGCTCTGCACAGCTGGGAATAACTGGAAACACCACCTCTGCCATGCTGTCCAGTCTGACAGTGTCTTCTGCCTGGAGAACCTACAGAACAGGATCAACAGCACCTAAACCACAGCTCCATCTCAGACAGGCGATGGGAGGGCTGACATGATCATCGCTCCCAGTCACCCACCTCAAAATGTCATGCCTTAACCAGTGGCCTTTCTTTCTCCACTGTCCTTCCTCTGTGTAGCTACATCCCATTATACCCTTTCTCCACCAAATGTGAGTACTTACTGTGGCTATTAGTGATGTATCAAGCTGTAGCCATCAACTGTGGCATAATCAGGCTCACCTGAGACATAGAGTACAAAAAAATTAGGTTTGCTCATGAGAAGCGCTCGTTACATCACTTTACACAGGACAGAAACACCACATACTGGCCACCCATGTTGAAGGGATGGGAAGCAGGGGTGAATGAAGCTCAAAGAGATGACTTGATTTGCCAAAGAGCCAAAGCAGGACCTCATTTTACCAAGTCCCGCTGCAGTATCCCATCACTGAAGTGACCCTGGGAACGATACAGCTCATGCTGTTGAAGCACAGAAAGGCCCAAACTGCAGATACTGGTGGGATCCCAAGCGTAGACATCCTTAAGCTTCAGAAATGCCCACATGCAGCGCTTCGACCAGAACTTCTCCCAGATGAAACCTTGCCTCCAGAGTCAGTGCCTAACCTCCCAGCATGACAGTGGGGACTGGACTTAGAGCCTAAGAGCTTCACCTAAAGCCATCCCTTTAGACAGCTCATGATCTGATGAGGAAGAGCAAAAGCAGAGAGTTCCTCTGTGGGGCCAGAAACCCCATAAAGCAAGTAACTCACCTGGTGCACTGGTCGGGGTGGGTAGAGGTCCCCTCCTGCACAGAAGGAAACACAGAGATGCGGATCTGCATTGCCCTGGCCCTGGGCTCCCCAACAGCCCTCCCAGAGCTGGTGGGCGGGCAAGAGGTTTGGCCAGGCTGGGCTTTATGGAGACCTGTTACCAAGGTGTGTCATGGTGGGCTCACCACCAACAGGCTGCTTGGCAAACATGGAAATTGAAGCTGATACGGTGAGGGAGATGAAAAAGTAATGAAAAAGCATTAAGTTCGGGAAATATTCACAAGGGAGCCTCAGAGCATGCCTTTTTACATGCCTTTGCCCAGAGTGAGACATCAGGAAGCCATAATTAGACATGACTCCTCTCCCAGTGTGACAGTCAAAGTGGCACACTCATCTTTAGCAACAGTCTTCAGCCTTGAATCGTCATCTGCCCCCTCTGGCAGAAGCATCCTTCACCACGTCCTCCCTGCCCAGCTTCTGTCCCAGGCTCTGCTGTTCCTCCCTCTACCCATGCACAGTTTTAATCGATCGACCTCTCCTCAGATAGACAGACCACATGGAGAACCATGCAGGGAAGCTCAGAAGGATTTGTTCTGGTATCAAAGGCTGCTCTGAAAGGTAGCTCAGATAGTTCCCAGGGAGAGCAAGACATGACACTCAGGGTCCAAGCACCGCAGCCTCTCATTTCCACACAAAGGACTTCTGGAATAGGCTTGGTACAAGAAAAAATCAGCAGACCCTCACCACAAGCACTTTCAGAATAAGAGTCACAACCACGAGAAGGGAGAAATAACCCCAACAGGGGGAGCAAAAACCTCTGACTGGGCTTAAGGAAGTTTTTGAACAGCTTGTAGTAGGCAGCACATTGGCATAACTCCTGCTGTGTTGGACTACATAGCATGGGAAATATTTTCCTCTAATACTCCCAAGACAAGCCTCCCATAGACTGAAAGCAACAAATTATGGGAGTTTTGGGGGAGAGCATCATCTGCGATAGCAATTGTATATGTTAATGTCCCTTACCTTGATATAGGTACAGGAACTGGACTTCTCACAGGAGTTGCATTTCTCTGTGTATTATAGTAGTTTTCATAAACAACAGGAGCTAGGAGAAGTTAACAATAGTAAAGTCAGACCTTTTGTAGTCATAAACTACTTTGATACTAACATTCAGCTGCTAAGTCTTTCCTCTCTCTGGGAAAATGCCTAATCGGGAAATCAAAAGTTACAGAAAGAGGCTATTATCTTCAGTGACTGGGGATAAGTGGCAGACTAGTGCTGTGTGTCAGTGAGTGAAAGAAGGGATGTTGCAGTATCAATGTTTTTTGCATCTAAACTGATGCTGATCAGAGCAGCAGCTCCAAGAGAAGTACAAGGAAGTCAGCACTACTTTGTGAGATTGTACTGAACTCTTACCTGGAGCCAAACTTCCAGTTTTGCGTAAACTTACAAAAAAATCAATATCCTTCTCAATACTGCACATTTCTAAACTCTTGCGGATTTCCTCATATTTCTGCCAAAGAGAAAAGAAAAATCATTTCTAGACATCAGCTCAAAAAACAAAAGGTTTTATTCCAATCGTTTATCACACATGGGGTAAAAAACCTGTGCTCATCCAGGACAGAAGTGTCAATGGTAGGGGAATCATAGAATCACAGAATGGTTTGGGTTGGAAGGGACCTTTAAAGATTATCTTGTCCAACCCCCCTGCAATAAGCAGGGATGTCTTCAGCTAGATCAGGTTGCTCAAAACCCCATCCAACCTGACCTTGAATGTTTCCAGGGATGGAGCATCTACAACCTTACAGGGCAACCTGTGCCAGTACCTCACCACCCTCAGAAAATGTGGGAATCCCAGAGGAAACCTCATCCTCAAGCATTCTGACCAAAACTTTCTGCCTGCACACTCATGGGGATGTCTGCTGGCTGATCAAAGGCCACAGCCCAACTCAGACATAACACAGCTCAGTGCACAGGAAAGCAAATTGGGCTCTGAAAAATTAAAGTATGGAGAGATCTTCATTTGACATACCTCGTCATTCTGGACACAGTCCTGGGAGAGCTGGTTGACGTGAAGCCAGAGGGCATTGCGGAAGTAGTTGATCCGCTCGCACTCCTGAGTTTCGAAGAACTGTAATGACACAGATAAACCAGCCCTAATGTCTTTAAAACAAGAGCAAATCTTTTTGTATTCTGAATGTTTCTCATCCCCAAGTATGGCTATAAAGACAACTGTCCTCACTGAACAGCAGGTGGTGGTGGTATCCTGTAGGAAACATGGAAACCACGGGTCCTCCAGTTTGTCCATAGGAGAAACCATCCGTCGACAAAACCAGGTATTTCAAAGATGAGTGCTAAGCTCGGGAAGGTCTGCAGGACCGATGTGGATGTGGTCACCCAGCACAATGCACCCTCTGGGGAGACCAAACCAGCTTCTAAAGGCAATGTATGTTCCCTATGCATCCCATGGTCCTGCGGACCCAGCTCACTTCATTCCCACAGGTACGGAGCAATAAAAAAGCATTGGGGTTGTATAAAAACAGAGGCATTGACTGGTTGGTCTTCTCCCTGTTTCCTGCCCAGACCTTTTCCAAGCGGGTTTAAACCCAAGTATTTTGAAGTCTGCTGTCTGGTAGACCTCAATTTCACATGCCTTTATACATTTCCATGAAAGATAACCTTTCATCCCAAGTGTATGTATGCACTTATTATCAGTCATGACCTTTGCAACACACCAAGGAGAAAACCTGCACATGATCCACCTGCAGAACCGAAACTACTGCTTCTCATACCCCACTATGAGGGAGGCTTCTGGAGACCTCAGACATCAAAAGCACACCAGCACACACCGCGTGGAAGAGACAGAAAATTCCACTTCTAAAGAAAAAGTAAAATAGAAGCCTGAGGAGAAATAGCTTGGGAAGACATGAGTGTGGCTGGGGATGGACAGACCTTTTACAAGCTTGCAGCAGACCTCAGATAAAACCTGGAACTCTGCAGTCCCTGTCTACTGTTGGTCACAGATCACAGGCGGCTGCAAGGAACAGGTCAGCAGCAGAGCAGCTGCATGTGCAGTCCTCTCACCACCAGCTCTGGACTTCCCCAGTATGTGCAAATAATCCTTTCTAGACCACTTCGCTATGAGACAGTCTGTTTTAGGCGGATAGAACCACTCAGAGGGGTTCCCACAGTACCACGTGGTCTGTAAGCTAAAAGGCAAAGGGCTTCTGGTTCATGAGGATGACTTCACCGACCCTGCACCCGCAGCCTGCCACCAGCCTTTGCTGCAAAGTCATTTAAAGTCTTTCAGAGTTTCAGTCTGCTGCATGGTCTTGCAGCTCCAGCACGTGTTGGCCTCAAGTCACCAGGTGTGCAGAGGTGACCATGACCATGACTGTTCAAGACAATGGCAACACTGAACGTGCAGGCAGGTAATGGGCAAAAATGTCACTACTTAGTGCATTGACTGTCAGTTTTAAAAGGTGGTGGAAGAAAAAAATAAAACCAAAGAAACAATAGAAACCTCAGAGTAGTGGGTCATTGAATCTGGAAGCCAAGTGTGAGACAAATGCAGGGTTAGCTGCCACACCTGCCAGAGGAATACACAGAAGGCAAATCTGCTCTGTCTCTGACCTCCGCAGCAAGGGGATGGACATCCAGAGGACTACACTGCCATGTGAAGGTGTTCTGGGGCATTTACCTCGCAAGCTTTGATGTGCTCTTTCTGCCATTCTTCCCGAATCTTCTCCAGTGTGGTAACGTTCTGCTGGTAACTCCGGTCTGCAAGAGAAATCACATTGTCATCTGATTAACATTCATTAAAAAGAAACCTTCACGAGAAGGTAATATGTGAAGCCCGAAATGCCTGAGATGTCATGGAGAAATCAGCAGTAACGTATGAGCTCAGCTATGAGTGGGCACTGCAAGGGAACAGAGAGCTGCACAGCACAGCGGAGGGTCATGCCATGGGCGCAGCCTTGGTGGGACCACGAAGGCTTCTCCAGAGTAGGTGCCCACCTCTGGCATCTTGGGTACATGTTTCTGAGGAGTCATGACTGACCCAAGAGCTGGAGTTTAGCCAAGAACCTTGCCACAGCTTCACAACCCCCCTGACCCAGGAAACACTGCCCTCTCCCTCCAAACGCGGCCGTTTCCACACTCACCAGAGTCCTCCAGAGCTGATTTCGTCTGAGCCAGCTTCAGAAAGAGCTGCCAAAAACGGGAGAGAGAAGAAAAGTAGAGGAGAGCCTTGGTGCATCACCAGCAGCTCTGCAGCCCAACCAGGGAACATCACCAGCCCTCCCATGTCACCCCAAATCCCAGAGCTGGGAAAAGAGACATGAGACAGGAGAGTTGCAAGAAGAGACACCATTTTCTCCTCCTGCCCCACGGCCACCCCCCTCTCTGTACCTTCTCCTGCTGCTTCTGCGTCACCAGGTTTGCGTTGCGGTGCACAGCCTGTTCCGCCTCATCCTTATCCCTGCAGCGCTGCTCGTAGAGCCGCTTGGCCTAGGAGAGCCACCAAAGGGGGCAGGAACGTGTCAGCAAGCAATGAGATGCAAGTACAGGACACGAGAGGCTTTGGAAGAAAGCACAGCCTACGAGTGAAGAGGCAGGCACAGGCTGACAGCTGAGCAGGGGATGGCACACAAGGTCCTGGGTGCCCTACTGTTTGGGCAAAACCCAGCTTACAAGACAAGCTGCTCTTCACTCAAGATGAAAAGCTCATGGCAATCAAGCCCATGACATCTAAATTACTTTTATCAAGCACTGCAAGGCTAACACCAGACATGTCCGACTTATACTCTTCAATTTTGCTGAGCATGCCCTGCACACCACTCATGCAGACACATCATAGGGACTTGTAGCAGGGGAGAAAAACATTCACATTTAAGTCTGCCCCAGCACCATGCATGTGCATGTCAACAGCATTAACCCATGCAACAAAAAACAGCAGCATGTTGCTTTACCTCCATGGTCTTCTTGTACTGCAAATTCCTGTTTTTGTGAATTGCCTCCATTATCAGCTCTATCTGTGGAGATAACAGATCCAGAGTCAGCACATCACTGACCATCAAAGCTCCAGGATGAACTGTGTAGCTTAGAAAAGGAAGAGGCACAGACTGAGATAGGTCTAAGGACCCTCTTCTACCCAAACCATCTTCACAGAACCCATCTGAGATATTCATCTTTCTATGATTCTATCTAAGCTTTCACTGGTGTGGCCTACAAATGCAGTCCCAGAAATACGCATGACTGTATTGACTCCACATGGTATGGCAAAATTGGGAAGTCCACTCCCCTCTGCAAGGTCCAAACCAGCCCCAGGTTCTAGCAGGTTTTCCTCATTTTCCAGACAAAGGAATCTCAAGCCAAAAGAACTTAAAAGGCTTGTCAAATTTAGCAGACCCTATGGGAATCATACAGCACTATACTGGGGCCAGTTCTGTAATATCTCTATCAGTGATCTGGGTGAAGGGATTGAGTGCACCCTCAGTCAGTTTGCAGATGACACCATGTTGTGTGGGAGGGTTGATCTGCTTGAGGGTAGGAAGGATCTACAAAGGGATCAGGACAGGCTGGATCGATGGGCCAAGGCTGATTGTGTGAGGTTCAACAAGGCCAAATGCTGGGTCCTGTACTTGGGTCACAACAACCCCCTGCAACAATACAGGCTTGGGGGAGAGTGGCTGGAGAGCTGTCTGGGAGAAAAGGATCTGGGGGTGTTGGTCAACAGCTGGCTGAACAGGAGCCAGCAGTGTGCCCAGGGGGCCAAGAAGGCCAACAGCATCCTGGCTTGTGTCAGCACTGGCGTGGCCAGCAGGGACAGGGAAGGGATCTGA